AGCTCAGTGAGTTGCAGCCTCCTGCAGCAAAAGCCCTCAGAGCCAGAGCTGGGCCCTTGGTGAGCAGCCCCATTCCAGGGCAGCCTCCTGGGCAGGAACTCAGCTGGGTTATAAATCTCATTTCTCCCCCCATCAGTGGGATGATAAATTATTAAACACAATAAATCTCATTCCTCCCCATCAGAGGGAGGATAAATTCTCAAACACAATGAGGTGGGGCAAAGAGCTTTGTGTTTTTCCTGAGCTGTGACAAGTTTGACTGCGGCAGAAGAGGGATACCTGCTGAGCAGGGAATGCCTTGGGATTTCCTTGGTGCTTGCCTGGCCCTGGGACATTTTTGTGTGAAATTGGTGAACTGGGGGCTGTCCCATTTGCCGTCCTGTTAGAGGAACCTCCCTGGCCCACTCACTCTCCTGGGAAACCCATCCTGTGCCTGTGGGGCGTCCCAGAGCCCTCATTCAATGGCTTAACCTGCAATTTTTACTGTGCTCCCACTCACTTTTGTTTTCCTTTAATGAAGAAATACTGGGTTTCCCTGTAGGTTTCCCACAATGGAAACGTGTCTGAACATTTTGTCCTCTCACTTTTCTCAGAACAGGACCTTTGAGAGTGCAGAACTTTCTGGCAGGCTGCAGGTAAAGTGCCATCCACCAGAGCAATAACTCCATTTCCTGCCCCAGGCTGGGTGTTTTCCTTGGGACAGACCCACCTGATCTTGATAAGATCTGTTTCTACTGAATTTGAGGTCCAGCAGAGAGACTTGAGCAGCACCAGCTGTTCCTCCTACACATGATCTGTATTTTTCAAGCTGTCTAGACACCTGGGTGGGTTGCACACATTACCAGCACAGGTATTAATCATGTCAAATGTTCCTTTTCTCTACAGGTTGGTTTTGTTTCATGAGCTTTGTGGAACCCAGGGGAACACAGGGATTCAACAGGCAAGTGAGGAATTTGAGCACTGAGGCTGACATTGGCCATTTTTCATCCTGACCTGGTGCAGGGATTTCAGGAATTATTGGCTGTGGTGTTTGGTGACACCGTGGCTCCAAACCATGTGTTCCACTGTGCTCTTTGTGAAATGCTGCTGAATGAAAACTCACTGAAACTGCTGCACAATGGGAAGTTACAGCAGTGACAGATTTACAGAAATGAAATTTACCACTGATTGTACAGGGAAACCCAGAAGGATGGGCACTCAGGGTCCTTATGTGCATCCTACTCGGGTAAATACGAATGTTTTCAATGAATGCTCTCACAGATGCCAGCTGCCTATTCCAAAGTGAAGTGCTGTGTGATAAATCCTTTTCATTAATTAATTAATTAGTGCTGTGTGATTAATCCTTTTTGTTAGAAAGAAGGGGATTCTCCATATTCAATCTGACTGGTTTATTTGCATTAAACCCCAGGGAAATGCAGATGAAAAGGGTGAGGGAAGGACAGGAGCCCCTGAGAAGCTGCTCCCACATCTCAGACCCAGATCCTGGCAGATGCCAGACCTGGGAAGGGGATTTGGGGATCCCTGACGTTCTCAGCAGGCCCTTGGGCACACGGGGCTGTCCTTCCTTGTGTTTGAACCTGAGCGTGGCCCTTTATCCCGTCCCTGGGATAAACTTGTTTTCCTCTCAGGTTGCCTGGCACTGGTGCTGATCACAAGAACTTTTGGTGAGCACAAGGGGTGTATCTTTCTCTACAAACAGCAAAGGCAAATAGAAAAATATTGTGGTCAAACGGGCGGGGTGTTTGCAACCTAAACAGGCATGAGAATCCCAGGACCAGCTGTGATTCATTTCCCAGCAGGTTTACCTTGCAGTTGAGGGGAACTGAGCAGCAGCATCAAACACCCTCTTTGCAGGAGGGGATGGGCACTGGCAGAGCAGATCCAACCCTGGATACAGGAGGATTGTTGGTCAGGAAAAGCCTCTGACATGTGAACCCTTTAAGCAGGTGCCTTTGGCAAAGGTTCAGAATCACAGCTGGCAAGGGGAGGGTTGGCCCTGGGGCTGGTAGGGGTCACAGGTTGGCACACCCAGGGCATCCCTGTGGGTGCAGAATGGGCACAGGCAGGGCTGGCAGCACCCAGGGCACTCCTGAGGGTGCAGAATGGGCACAGGCAGCACCCAGGGCATCCCTGTGGGTGCAGAATGGGCACAGGCGGCACCCAGGGCATCCCTGAGGGTGCTTCCCAGGGGAGGGTTGGCCCTGGGGCTGGTAGGGGTCACAGGCTGGCATACCCAGGGCATCCCTGAGGGTGCAGAATGGGCACAGGCAGGGCTGGCAGCACCCAGGGCATTCCTGAAGGTGCAGAATGGGCACAGGCAGGGCTGGCAGCACCCAGGGCATTCCTGAGGGTGCAGAATGGGCACAGGCAGCACCCAGGGCATTCCTGAGGGTGCAGAATGGGCACAGGCAGCAC